GACTGTGGTGTACGGCATGTTAAAGGCCTGTGAGAGCAGGAAAGCTCTGTCCTGGTTTATATGTTTAAATGAGTTCTACAGCTATAGTCAGATATTCCATGAGTTAAGGCTCTGTTACAAACAGGCCAATCACAGCACTGAAGCAGAAGCTGTCCCAACTCTGAACTCTCCGAACGCAGCTATCCTCTTTGCCTCTTGGCATCGACGTGTAACAGTATACCTTTACCATTAAAACTAACCACGTAGGAAAACCGGACTCCGAGTCAAGAGCAGGTTGTACAGTTTCCTTTTCTTAGAAATGACAGTGAGATGAGCTGCTGTCGGTCTGCTGATGGTGTCGAAATTAAAGCACAAATAAATCCTCCTCTCTGACTCACTCCTACACACCTCGCGCACACCGAGTATTTCCCACCGAGCCGTGAAGTCCTGTGAAACTGCTCTACTGTGGAATGACTCTGACTCACTAGCCTACATCACACAGTTCTCCTGTAAACAGGCTCATTTTTGTTACACAGATCAGGTCTGTGTCTGAAACAAACCCAGCTTGTATGCCAGTGGTGCTGCGCTTTTTCAAACTCTCATCTTTTTTCATTCAGATCCTTCAGCGAAACCTAAAATAACACCTCGCTACTTATGTTCAACACGCTCGAGTGAAGTTTACTTTATTCCACAACCCTTATAAAGTTGTTGTTGATACTTGATCCATCGTTATATGTAAGGACTTTCTTACTGTCTCTGCAAAGAAACAGGTGGAAGGAATCTGTCAACTCTGGGTACAGGTCTAGGCAGATGGCTAGATGTGTTTGATGCTGCAACACTAAATGTGAGCACTGGAGCACACTCCCAACAACAAGAAGCTCCTGTCTCATTGTTCCTTTGATCTGCCAGCTATCTATCAAACATGAAGGTCCTCACAACAAATATTTGCTTTGAAGCTGTACTTCCATGTACGTCACTGTCACTAAAGTTCATAATATGCACCACGAGTTTTGAAACAACTGATTACAAACAATATTCATAAAAGTGTTTTCTATCAAACATTCTCCCACGGTCCAGTGTCTTACCCAAGGACACTTTGGCAGACTGGGATCAAACTACCAACCTTGGGATTAGCAGATGAGCTACGACCACCCTTAATATTTTACATTTTAGTGTGAAGAGTGACACATGATCAGGATCACAGAGTGTTTGTTTGGATGAGGGTAATTCTCCAGGAAATGTTGATGCAATGTCCTCTTGGCTGTTCTATCGTCGGGTTTCACTTCCTTTGTATCACAATGTGAACTGTTTAAAGACACAATGTTGCAAGTTGTAACAAGTTGCATCCTGTCAGGAGACTGTTTCTGTTTCTCTCAGTCTCCCAACATTTCATAGCAACAGTAGTCATGCCCCACACAGTAAGACTGTGTGTTAACATTCAAACTTATGACATTTGTCCCCTGTCAGCTGGATTTAGGCTAAACATACACTTCCTGTTTTATCTGAGCTGAATATTAATTGTACTTGTTACAAACTCTGCTGAATGACACTGCTAACCAAACCAGAGCAGATTGGGCATAAAAACATGTAAATAACATGGCTTCAGATTTGGAAAATCCCTAAATGACAGAAAAGAGTCATCACATGGATTTGGGTGAAACAGAATAGATCGTGTAAATGATTTAGTTATTTTTAACTGAATATGTGACCATGGCATTCAGAGGGCTCTGTGCAGGAATCAACATTATTGTGTTTCCTAAGAAGAGGCTCTGTGATCACCAGAGTGAGCAGTTTTCCATGATATCAGCACAGCTTCACACTGGGAACCTGATAAAACCAGCCCAACAGTTCAGACTTTGACTATATGCTCAAAATCCCAGCTTTGTTGTGATTCTTCTCAGAGGAATTTGTTCAGAGAAGTGCAGTCTATCGCATGCAGGAACCTGTGTGTGACTGTACAGGACAGCACCACTGATTCAAACCACAACTGAGAGAAGTTTGCGGTGAACATGCGAGCAAGGAGACAAACACGTGTCAGCACCCAGCCTTTTGCAGGTCTTTATGAAATAGCAGCAGTAAAACACCGCGGTGGTGAAGGAGGAGAATATGAACTGTTTGCTGATGTGTTCAGCTACACTCAGGAGACCATTCTCCCAAAAGCAGCTACACCCTTCATTTTTAAACAGCGTCTGCATGAGCCGCTGAGTAATGGCACTGCTCCCAACAAAGCTGCCATACTACGAATGACCGTCAGCAGCATGTCATATTTACACAACTGTACAGAAAAGTACACGAGTCAGTGCAGGGTGTGTCGGCGGGCTGCTGGAGACCACAGCCACACACTGCTTTTAGCAAGGACCCACCACCCAACAAGCCACTGGATTGTTGTCTGTCCCACACACGAGGGTCGTCTTCTCTCCTGCAGGCCCCAACTGAAAGGCATTTCATCATGTCCACTGTTAAACTGATGCCTGACTGAGAAACGGGGGCGCAAACCAGCTTTTCCACAGCCCAGACAGGATGGCAGCTTTAACACGCGCAATAGACACACTGACTTTCCGCTCACGCTCAGGAAAACCTGCAGTGCATGCAGCAGTTCAGTTACCTAACGTGAACTGGTGTTTTCCACATCAGCGCCTTGGAGAAAAGCTCGTGCACGCGCAGCAGTGACACTTTTGCGCCAAACTCCGGAGCAGAGAGCTGTGCCGCTGTGTGACACGCAGGGCTGAGAGTTTCTGTGAACACCTCTGAAATATGAACGCGGTGTGGAAATGTGTCGGCCTGTACGACTTCTGTCAAACTTGTGGAGAGTTTTGACTCCCTGGCGAACTCCCGGTGCGTCACGGAGCCGAGCCCGGACACGCTGAGAGCCGCTCTGCTGGCATCAGTGCTTCTCTTTCAGCTTACCTGTTAAGAGGCCGGAGGGCAGCAGAAGGCAGTAGAAGAGCCAGACAACCACCTGAAGATCCATGGCAGAGCACGTCAACGCCGCGCACACGGCACGAAGGCTGGCTCGATGTCAGACGCGCTCCATTTGGTCTAAGGTGGCCGATCGCTGTCCGGGCCGTTACTCCCTAACGTGAACACTCGCACTGAAGCTCCGCTTCGCGCTGAGCCGAGGGAGGGGGTCTTCTGTAGGGAAAGCTGGAGGCCGGGCTGAGGCGGCTCCGCGGCACATGGAAAAAGTGATTCACGGGCGGTCCGTGTGAGGGGCGTTCATACTGCAGCTGCTCACAGTCGCCTCCCTCTCTCGCAGTCTGACTGCGCGTTAAAGTTCGCGCAGAGCGCTCACAGCACTCAGTCCTTCTTCTAATGACCCTTTCACACTCTCCCGTGTCAGATCCATGTCAGTCAGTACTTGGGGGTACATGAGGCCGCTCCTCACGCCAAGTTTGGCCAAATTCGTATAATAATGCGGTCAGGTAGCGCCCCTCTGCGTACGCAGGGTGATGCAGCACCAGCGTGGAGATGTCACCGCGTTGATCCTGATGTGATGACTTAGAAAAATGATATTAATTGAAATAAACTGGTGGCGCTCAGCAGCCACTCCTGACTGCAAAGCAGTGACATTACGACTTGTTCTCTCCAGATGTTTCCACGTTACAGAACTCCAGATATCAGCTGATTTTTTTCACAGGTTTCAGTTACAAAGTCAACAAAAGTTTGGATTTGATAAATCTGTGGCTGTGGTTCAATGCGGACACTGAACCACAGCCACAGATTTATCTTTGAGCTCAGCTTCCAGCTGCAAATCACAGAAGAGATCAATGGCGCACAGTCCACTCAGTCATCCTGTGGCTGAGTGGCTGCTGTGGACCAATCAAAGCTCACTGCTCATCAGCGTAACTTTGTGCTAAACCTTGGGGGGTCTCTCTGTCTAAATAAATAAATAAATCTGACCCCCCCTAACCCCCCTGGAAATTACGCCCCTGTCGACACACAGTGACTTGGTTGTGATTGATTGAACTGGTGTTATTCTGCTCCCCCCCAAACTTTATTAAGCAACAGTATACAGAGAATGTATTCGAACATAATTAACACATGCCAGGGGGGTGCAATATAAAATGTTACATAGCCTACATTCAAATACTTTGTAATTAGTACAAATAGTAATTGTTTTTATAGCCTTTTTATTAAGTGATCCACTAATCAATTATCAGTATCATTATAGTTGTGTTTAAAATTAGGCTTTTGGCTACTGTATTTGCATTTCTGGAAATAAAATTTAGCTAAGATAACTAACAGATTTATTATAAAGTATACAGCTTCCTTTTCTGCCTTTAAAAGAAACAAATACAACATTTTCCCATTTCAAAGTAAAGTCCTTGTAGAGCTGTCCAGTAATGAATTAAGCCTTTCCAAAATGTTCTAGCACGTGACCCAGAAGTCTCAGGATGGCTTCCACAAAATCCACAGTTCACATTCATGTCCCTTTTGAACTTTGTCGTGATTAACTGCATAATATTTAGCACGAATATTCTTATTACCTTCACTGTGGTTTGTTAGACAGGTTCTTCCTTTGTGTGAACCCACAGGGTTGGGTGAGCTGGTGTTATTTGTGCGTGTCCGCAGAGGAGGAGCTGCCACTGAAACACGCAGTAAACTATCCGGAAGGTGGCGTGATTTGAAAGTGATCACCTGCTGTAACCATGGTGATTAGACAGGTAAAGTTACAGAGCCACTTTCACAAACAGAAACTGGACATGTCGATCCACAGCACCGCTCAAAGCCCGTGTTTAGCGTGTGGAAAACGTTTACACAGAAGAAGAACACGCCCGCCCACGGTCGGCTCCAGTCCTGGTTTACCCTCCGACCAAGAGGACCGGGGGAGGCGTGGCTTTATTCGTTTCGCGCGAAAATTTGTTTCTTCTTCCTGTGCAGCGTGCGCACTTCCGGAGAACGTTTGCAGACGGCGTCTGTGTGCTGGGGCTCTGCTCGTCCTCGCTTTGTTTTCGTGTTCGGTTGTGAGGCCAGCGGCATGTCTCAGGCTCGGGTTACCGACTTCTACTCCCGGACGAAGAAAGCCACCGGCGGCCCAACGAAGCCGGCGGAGCCACGCAGCGCGTTGTCGTGTTCGTCGACAGTTCATGAAGAGTTTCTCCGTGTAATCGACGAGGCCGCAGGGCTGAACCACGGCGCGGAGCAACCCCTCTCCAGCCCCCGCACCCCCAAGCGGGGCTCGGCTGACCTCGGAGCGACCGTGTCTACCGCAGCCGCCGAGCACAGCACCGCCAAGAAGAGGCGGCAGTTGGATCTCGGAGCACCGGCAGCCGCTGCAGGAGCAGAGAGGCCGACGAGGCGGTCTGCCAGGAAGAAGCTGGAGCTGCCCGCAGACACGGCACAGGTAACAGCCGTGTGCATGTACACGCAGACCCACAGGCTTTGTTGTCCTGCCTTCACGCTGTAGTTGCAGGCTTTGTGTACTCTTCATGCTCAGAGATCTTTGTAGTGTCGGGATATTTGCTCCTCTGGACTGATCTGGCTTTAAATCGGCTTTCTGAATGTCACGAGGTTTCTTAGCTGAATAAATGAGATGTTTCTATGCCGTTTCTCCAGAGACTGAACTTGTGACGGGAATGTTGTTTATATCTTAAGTGATTTAATATCATTCCTGAGAGGGTTCACAGTGTCAGCAGCTTGAATAAGCCGATCGTTGTTGAAACAATGAGAGCAGCCTGATCATATCTGAGACACACCTCTCTTTAACAAAGGTTACTGTGTGTGAGAGAGAACCACTCATGATGGCTAATCTGCATGTGGGGGGTGGGCTGGGGGAGGGGGGCGGGGCTGCACACATGACCTCTGGTGTGTTTTGGTCGCAGCTGAGAGCACCTTTTTCCATTTCTGGCAGGTCCTGGGTAAAGAGGACATCGCTGCTCTCAAGTCACGCCTTCTGAGGATTAAGAAGCATGTAGATGAGATCCCTGCCACTGCGTCCTCAGCTGCACCCTCCTCTCCATCTTTAGTGCCTGACAGTAGCTCCTCTGCTGAAGCGAAGACCCTGAAGCTCTCTGTAGCTCGGGCCAAAGAGCTTGCAGCTAAAGCTCAGAAGAGGAAGGAAGCAAAAGCAGCAGCGGAGCATGAGCTGACTGAGACCCGTGCTCAGGACAGGTGAGCGCTCGCACGTGTGCACAGAGCAAAGTGAGCGTAAGCTGCATTTCCCCAAAGACGAGCTTTTGTTTAGTCCATGTTAACGTGAATGTCGTCCTCCCTTGTGTGTCCAGCACCGAGCAGCCAGCGTATCAGCGGTACCACACTCTCGCGCAAGATGCCCCCCCAGGCCTCTCCCTCCCCTACCATTACAAGGTGCTGGCTGAGATGTTCAGAAGCATGGACACTGTGGTCGCCATGTTGTACAACCGCTGTGAGAGCGCGACCTTCACCAAGATCAAACGGGGAGTTCAGGACATGATGCACAAGTAAGTGTTCAGTCAGACGAGTTCGTGAGACGAAAGCTGAAAGTGTGTGAGAAAGTGAGAGATGTCAGCAGTCCTGTTATTTGTGCTGGAAACGTTCCAGCTGTGTTTTTGAGCCACGGCTCGTTGGACCCGTGCGGCACGCTGCTAAAGATAATAACGGACTTGTTTCCTCTTTGAGGCGGTTTGAAGAGAGCCACGTGGGTCAGATAAAGACGGTGTTTCCTGAGGCGTACACGTTCCGGCAGGAAAAACACATCCAAGCTTTCAACAGCAGCATTAAGAAGGGAAGCTACCAGCTGACCGTGGACCCCGTCATCGTCTCCGGTTAGAGTTACATCACCTTCAGCTCAGCCAACCACTTTTCTCCAAACACCATATTTGTAAACTGTCCCTCAGTACATGCTTTGATTTGGGTGTTTGTGGTTGTTCTCCTCAGAAAATAGCGAGGCTCGACCTGTGCTGTCAGCCTCGCGTCTCCTGGAGAGAAGACGCTTGTTCCATAACAACCTGCTTTCCACTGTCAAACAGCACCACCAGGTCAGCTGCTCTAGTTTGTCTTCATTTTTTAATAAGTCACACAGCAGCTACTTTTGTTTTGTTGTCATCTCAAACTTTTGCCTAAATCTCTTTTCTTCCCTGCAGGTTTTCCTGTCCTCGTTGGATCCCCCAGTGTCGGTTCCAGAAGACAAACTGACCCGCTGGCATCCTCGCTTTAATGTGGACTCCGTGCCCGCTGTCCACACGAGCGCATTGCCTCAGACTCCTCGCCCTGAGAAACTGGCCACAGCTCAGGAGGTGCTCGACAAGGCCCGCTCACTCATCACACCTAAGGTGCTGCAGCAGAGTCGCCGCTCTCACGCTTCTGCGTGAACGATGAGCTTACTGTAGTCCAAGATTAATAATTAGCGCTCTGAATTTCAGGTGTTGTTTACACACAGGTCACATGGGCAGTAATAACTTCAGTGAAGGGCTGTCAGTTCAACACTTGACCTCGATTCTGATTAAACAGCTGTGTCATACCCACACTCTGCATCAGTTTCCCCTCTCCTGATTCTGTCACCAGACCAGCGTCGTGTGTTTTGTGTTGTTGTATACTCGCATCACCTCCTCCTGTTCATGAGGGTGAAGGACAGAAGGAATAAGTTTCTGCGTGAACATGCGCTGACTGACATCTAGAGTTTACATCGAGGCCCTTTGAACGATGCAGCTCCTGATTCAGGGTTTTTCTCAGTTGTATGTTCAGTTTGAGGAAACTGGTGAGCACTTAGTAACAGTGGGTGTCGTCACAATAACTTCTTACTGGTAAGAGCCTGAGTCATTTTGAGCAGCACGTGTGCTTCAAACATGTAGGACTGCTTTCTTTGGGTGACGGGACTAGAACGAGAGCATAGTTGGATATTTGGAAATCCAAAATCA